GAAGTGGTTCTCCTGGCTTTCACCAACCGTACCAATCACGAAGTTTTAAGAGCATCTCCAACAGTATGCTGTATTTTCTTTCTCTTCTTTCAGATTTGGAGATTTTTCCATTCTCTCTCATTTTTGTCTCTATTTTAAAGCAGAGTTTAGCGTAGCTGTTGAAGCATATTTTTCCTAAATATCAAAATTTCTTAAATAACATAGTTGTTGAAGATGCTTTAAAGGGTCTTGTTACACAAGAATCCTTCAAACAGTTTATTGAATTACAGAAGAAGTCGAGAAATACGTATAATTTGACGAGTCGTTTTGAAACGATTATAGACAAGAAAATAGAACTTAACAAGACAAGAGAAGACTACAAACCCTCCAAATTACCAAAGGGAAATAAAAAAAAACATGCATCTTCGGCAATTTTTTTAAAATAAAGAAATAAAAGTCAAATTATTTGTATGTTTACCTCTTAATAGTTCCATTAAGAAGCAGCCTCTGATTCGTTCATAGGTGAATCTTGTTTGACAAAAAAAAAAAGAGTCTACCTCTTAATGGTTTTAAAACCCTCTGAATGATTTTGTATCCTGGACCTCTCTTAACCATTAAGCACCTTAATTTCATTGTAAACAATTACCAAACAATTATATTTCATTTTGCACTATATTATGAGAGTCTCTTAATCATTCTGACCACCTAATCATTCTGCATCAAACCATTCAGCAACTAGTAAACAAACCGTTCATGAGACTACAAACCCTCATCGACAGGTTTTTTAAAATAAAGAAATAAAAGTAAAAAACCTTAGAAAAAGTTAAATCAACTTCAATAATTTTTTCCATTTCTAATATTTTGCTATTAATTTTGTATTCGTAATATTTAATGCATTGCCACAATAACCGTTAGAACAAACTGTTTGAACATGATTATTTTTGAAATAAAGTTTGCAGATCAATTCAGTGTCACTCTCCAATTTGTCCAAATATCTGAGGCTTGCATACCATTGAACACCTCACGGTCCACCCGATGAACCAAGGTTCATGAGGCTTAAGAAAACGATCTCAACACCATATAAGGGAGATAGTATCGGGCAATCATGCATGATGGTCAGGATCACAAAAGTTTAAGGATGAACGTGAGGGGTTGTCGGCCTTTACAGGTAACTTAAACGATTTACAACATAAATAAATACTGTTTAGGACAACCAGGCCCTAAACATTATCAGTACAACTTTTAAGGGAATAATTGTCGGAGATGACATCTCCATAGGTAGAAAGACCAATGCTAATAAGGTCTGATGTACCCAAACTGTTACTGAAAAAGCAGCTTACACATCCAAAAACTAGGACATTAAGAGGGTTGACTGAATGAAGGTTTTTCGTCATGGACACATGAGATCCAGCGCATCCCTCTTATATAGATTTAACAGAGCTCGAACTCCCATTTTATATATCTTCCTTCGGGTTTATCGCCTTGTTACATTAAAAAGCACCGTTGGTCCTTCCCAGTATGGTATTGACCGATTGTTTGGCTTTGTTTGACTTATACCTCAAGATTTATATGTTGTTGCGTACACATAACTAGTTTTCAAAGTTGACTGTATCTATCTTTCCTGTCTCAAGTTCATCTTTCTCAAAGTCTTCCTCTTTATGGTACCTTTATCACCTTCACACACTTTTCACAAACTCGGGTCTTCATGAAAAGAATGACAATTATTTGAGGTAGATCTGCATAGAAATCTCACATTCGGGTGAGATATATCGGCTCATTTGGTTTGGTTGGCTACTAGTTTTTGCTTGGTAGTAATTGGATGTTGAAATGAATCTAGCAACAGTCTCGTTCATCCAAAGATCCCCCTATTGTTTTTACCATAACCAACTAAACCAATTTAGACCTATATGATCTTATTGGTAGGTAGGGGTGTTCGTGGTCTGATTTGGGCACTTTAACTCCCAAAACCATAAACCAAACTGCAATGGTGGTGTAGAAAATTTCCAAACTGAGCGGTTTTATAGCAAGTGACAAAACCGGTCAAATCGGATCACAAAAAGACGGTCTGGTTTAACTGATTTAGACATTTTAGGCCTCTTATGGGGTTTAAACTAAAAAACATAAAATCTATATATAAAATGAAATTTCTACTAATATAACATCATTAAAAAAATAGTATATTGAATTATAAAATGAATGTTTATCTATAAAAGTAAATTTTTTTTGGATCAAACTGGAAAAAAAAAAAAAGTTAAACAAACCCACCACAATTGTTGGAATTTTGAACAAATATTGAGCAAGTCGAAGGACGATTTGATATTTTGGATTTGATATTTGACGGATTTTGGATTTTGCGGATTTAGATAACGCGGTCAATTAAGAAATGAAACCTAAAAAACATAATGTTTTGGAAGAACTTTTTTTAATTGACTCATAAAAGTTAAAGCCTACAACATGAAAACTAAATATAATTAATACATGTGTACTTTTAGTGGTCGGTCGGTTCATATCACTCAAGAAAAAGTTCAAACCACATATCAGGCTAGACCGAACTGTCAAACCAATCAAATCACCAAAAAAAAGCATACAGACATTAGTAATTTTGATTTTGCCTACACATACAGACATTTATCAGTTTATAAAAACAAACAGTTTTATCTAAAGCATTCCTATCAATAAAAAAAGGTCAAATAACTAGTAGCACCAAAGATATGAGAATGAGATAACATTCCATTTTCAAAATATAACAATCCCAAAGAAAATGAACCAAAACCGACTATCCACTCTTAGCTTGGGCCTGGGCTTGGGGCTCACTAGGCCTCGGATTTTTTAGGCCGGGCTTCAAGCTCAGGCCTTTTCGTGCATCGCTAAGTAATGATATTCATTTGGGTTCGTCGATCAAGAACAAGTTTAAAAAAGGAATCGATTATAAACAGGTTAAGACCAGATGTATTGCATATGATATATACATATACCGTCAAGTTTACATATACATTCTTTGCTCTTCTCTAAATTCATCGACTGAAATAAGCAAATTCCTAATAAAGTTGTTCCTAATAGAAGAACAAGAATTGATGGTGAATTACCCTTTTAGGATATAGTACAAAGGTTGAATATATGGCACCGGCTAACAATACCACCATCATTCTTTTATGTAAGAGTGGGTGTCTGGGCCAACTCATGCATACCTCGACTAATCCCATGGGACGTTGAAGATAACAGCTAAAAACATCCTCTGTGGTCCTCAGGACACTCGAACTAGCTACCTAAGGAGAGGAGACCCGACATCTAGCCTTTTGGCCCTCAAGTGACATGGCATGATAAATAACATGATGATGGGTCTGCTTACTACTCTTTTTTATGTCAAGGTAGCTTTAGTGGAGCCACTTGGGTTGTGGTGCTTTGGTTAAGTCTTAGGGATGTAGTGGTAAATTTCATCTTCCTGGGGTTCGAATCCAGACACTGTCGAAGCTCTTATGGCCATGGAGGGTCACCTGTGATGACTCCATGATTCCAGACCATTCATCGTCGCCTAGGGGATTAGCCGGTGTATGCAAGCTGGTCTAGACACCCATGGCTACCCAAAAAAAGAGGTAGCTTCAGTGCGCTTCATATATTTACCCAAATACCGAAAGAACAAAGGGAAAAACAGATAATATAGTCTTCAGTGTGTCACCTGTGCAACTCCAGCAGTGAATAGCCTTCATCATAAGCCTCTGCACTCACCACCCCGCCCCCCTTTTTTTTGCACAGATCATGTTGATTACCGACGTTCGGCTATTATGGAATGACTAGTTTTAGAAGAAGAAAAACCCCGTTAGCCCTCATTCGTGTTCCCATCCAGCATCATGTGTTCTGATAAAAGAAATATACTGATATCCACCAACCCACATTTTGCTGAGACTCAGAATAGCAGGAACTCTGTAACGTTCGTTAGACTTGACCTGTTAAAGAAACATTCAGAGGGTAAAACCGACAATGTTAATAGTTCAGCAACTGAATTCTCCAATGTGGTAGACAAATTCATTATTTTGTGACATAGTTGCAAAACAATATAATTGTTAAGCCACTTGACTACAGGACATAAGGTTTCAAAAGAAGGTATGATCATGTCAAGCAGATAATGAAGGTGACTCAGAAAACATGTTGGTTTGATATTGTAACATCATTAATAGGTTATGAGAATCCAACAGCATTTTCTATCAACGGTTGTTTCACAATGTTCAGATTTGACCATATACTCATCTTAACATGGAAAACACACAAGGGACTAAAGGGTCATTGGCCCAAGGATATCTGGGTTAGCGGTAGATCAAACCTTCCTCGAGGTCAGAGATGGAGAATAATCAAACCAAACAAATTAGACGAATTCAAAAAAGAAAACCCTGAAAAAAGTTACTACAGAGAACTCCTTGAACTTAAGAAGATGACAGAAAACCGTCTGAAGTTTAGCAATATGCCAATATGACAAATTTAATACATCTTTAACTTTCAAGAATCAGATAACGGCACTTGCTGACACGTCAACACTGTTCTACGTCTTGATAAAAAAACCTTACACAAAGGGAATGAAACATGACCGATCCAACAAAAAGTAACATCCAGGTTAAGGGAGGATCCAAAGCAAGAAAACTGATTGCCAATTAAAACATGATGATGAGAAATACACTCCAACAATCAGTCTAACAAACCACACTTCAAAGTTCAAACCAATGGCATCATAAATGTGAAATAACAATGTATCAACTTGTTTTATTTTAAAACATTCTGGACTTTTATCCTTGTAAGTTGTAAAGTTACATTTAACCCATTACCATGGCTTTCAAGCATATAAAATTGTAAATGCCACAAATAACTGTTGTTATTAAACACAACACACCACAACTTAGCAACCAAATATATGCCAAAGAAATAATGGATCATATTATATATGCTTATGATGTGCACACCTGATAATGCCAAGCATTGAGCTTTTTCGCATGCACCGATGACCTCAAGGGACTGCTTGTCCAAACGCAACATCAAAAAGCCACCGGGATATTTGTGTTTTTACTATACGAGGTGTCTGTCTGTGTGACAGGCATGCCTGATGCAGCTTTCGTTATTTCAAAAGCGTCTTTTGGCATCCCAGCCTTCAGAAGGCGTGATACCAATGAATTTACAGTAACCGAATCTGGGACACAGCCAACTACAAGCATCTTCTGGAAAAGGCTTATTGCTTCAATCATTCTCCCTTTCATACAATGCCCAATAATTAAAATGGTAAATGTTACCTTATCAGGTTTGCACCTTTTCTCCTCCATTTCCTTAACAATCGCATTAGCTTTATCGACGTTGCCTGCTTTGCAGAAACCATCAATTACAGGGATGTAAACAAATGTTTTAGGAACAATATCATCTCTCTTCTTCAATTGTCTTAAGAGGTCACACGCCTCATTTAATCTACCTTTTTCACACAAAGTATTGATGAGAATGGAAAAGGTGTATATGTTAGGATATAAGTTTCTTCTATTCATCTCATCCCAAATCTTTAAGCCTTGCTGCAGTTCTCCTAGGCGACAATGGCCATCAATAATAGATGTGAAGGTGATAACATCAGGAGTACAACCAAGATCAACCATCTTTTCATACATATTTAGTACAGAAACCATATTGCCAATCTTACCAAAACCATCAATGATGACATTAAAGGTAACAGTATTGGGTCTGATTCCATGACCGATCATATTATCAAACAGGACCATAGCTTCTTCCATCTTACCTAGTTTGCAATACCCAGATATAACTGAAGTAAAAGTCACAACATTTGGTGAACATCCATCGACCATACAAGTTTCTCTCAACAACTCATGTGCTTTATCAACATTGCCAGCACGACAAAATCCGTTTAAAAGAGTATTATAGGTAACCAAATCAGGAAAACAACCGAATTTCCTCATTTTATTGAAAATGCTGAATGCCTTATCAACCTCCCTAGCCCGGCACAGAGCGGAGATGACTATGTTAAAAGTACAAGCATCAGGAGAATAGCATTTCAATCGTAAAATGATGTTTTCGAAGAAAGAAACCGCCTCATCCATGTGATTACTCTTCACCAATGAACTTAAAAGTTTGTTAAACACAACACAACTGAGCACCTCATCCTTTTCAACGCTAGATCGAGAATGATCAACCATCAACTCTTTGGCAACCTCAAACTTACCAGCATTCACAAATGACGTTATCACAAAGCCTAAAAGCGAACTATCTGGCAGTACCTCATCAATCCTCATCAAATCAATTACCTTTTTGGCTAAATCATGAACACCCACTTGAGTCACATAACCAAATGACCTTAAAAGAAAACTATATGTTTCAGTCGAATGAACAAGATTCAATGTATTCTTGGTATACTCTAAAAAACTAAAAGCCAAATTCGGGTTATTCCAATTACTATTCATATGCTTAATAACACTAAAAGCAGTCAAAGAGTTTAAATTCTTGCGTAGATAATCCGAAACGCGAACTTCTTTCACTGACGATTTACGTCGAACATATAATGTGCACACAACCTTAACGAACCAAACAGACGAGGCTCCTCCAAATTGACCTTCAGATTTTGAGATCGATGAAGTTTTGGAAACCCGTTGGAGCTTAGAGAAGCTAAACAAACAGAATGGGAAATTATGGGTTCTTGGGGGATGATTCGACCACCTCAAACTCAATGGCATTGTTCCAAATCAGCCAATGGGGCACTGAAGTCAACCCAAATACGTACTTGTAGAGTTGTAAGGCTTGTAATTGGGCTTGGACCATCTGCAATTCATTTAAAGGGCATTTTGTAATGTAATAAATAATAAATTACAGATTTGGTCCTTGTAGTATGTTGATTTTTATGAATTTAACCTCATACTTCATTTAATATGGATTTGGTTTATGTGTACTCACTTTCTATTGGATTTGGTTCTTGGACCAAACAACCATCTACTAAGTCTATTAAAATCAAGGGCAAAATGGTCTTTTTTTAACTTTTCTATATTCTAACCATTTTTTAAATTAACCTTTTTAAATTAGGGACCAAAATGTATACATTGAAAGTTAAGAGGACCAAAAAACAAAATTGTATAGGGGTCCCTTTTGTTACTTTTCGAAACTCAAGAACTACTCCTTCCCGATCACCCCGTACCCGTTCTCCTATCTCCATCTTCGACGACCCAAAACATCCTCCTTCCCTGTCGCCTTCTTCGGCGACTTAGAACCCGAAAATGGAACAAGAAACGAGAAACCCTGACATTACCCCCATCGCCCCTTCTCCATTTCGAACGACTATTGGCCTCCTCCCTGATATCGACCCTTGATTTACCCTAAAAAACCTAAAACTGAAATACATCTATTATATGAGCTTGACAAAGTTTGTCGGTAGTTTTGTCGGAGGAAACAAGGTTCATTGGAATCGGTTATTATGCTGAAGAAGATTGGCTTCACCGGAATTGTTGGTTTCCTCAAATTGATGAATGAGTCTGAATGTGATGAGGAAATAGAGATGGAAATCAACCCATAAGTCTGAATGCCAAAAAGTTTCTTCTAAACAAAAAGTTAAAGAAACTAAGCCTTCTGTTGTTCCCATCTCTGACTTTCACACCAGACCCAAATTCTTTGAAAAGGGTGAGATTTCAGGTTGTAAAAAGCCAGTCAATTTAAAAAACTAGAATTTGAAGTCTAAATCATCTAATTCAAAGTCTTCAACTTTTTTAGAGAAAATAAAAGGACCTTTGAGAAAGAAAGCCAATAAGAAAGGAATGTTTTTGATAAATCTAAGTTTGTTGGGAATTTAAAACCTTTGAACAATAGTACTTGTGTTTCTGATAAATATTATGGTCATAATTCTTTTGAATGTATGTGTACCAAGATGATTTCCATGCTCAAGAAACATATTCATTATACTAATTATGGTCAAAATTCTTTCAAACCAAAATGGATCAAAAAGGACAGATTCTCTTCTCAAAAATCATTTCATCTAAAGAGCAAATCCAAATCTGAACAGGCTTTCAAGCAAACAAGGAACTTTAACATAATGAACAAAAATCAAAATCCAGACTTCAATTTGCCATTCAACAAGCCAATAATGAAGTGGCAGATTAAAACTTACACTGAAATAATTCAAAAAAAAATATGGAAAAAGAATAATCAAAGTGTGGAAACCAAAAGTTTCATCTTCCACTGAACCCAAGGGACCCATTTACAAATGGATACCTAAAATCAAGTGATCTCTTTTTGCAGGTCTGTCATGTGTGGATTTTGGATTCTGGATGCTCTAGACACATGACAAGCTATAAACAGTTGTCGACCAACTTCTAAGAAAAACATGGCGGCACTGTTAATTTTGGAAACAATCAGAAGGGGTATTTACAAGGTTAGAGGATGTTGACCAATGGAACTGTCACTATCATGAGAGTAATGTATGTTGAAGGGTTAAAACATAACCTCTTCAATATCAGCCAATTATATGACAAACTCTATGAAGTTCATTTTCATATTGATAGGTGCCCTGTTAAAGATTCAAATGGAGTCCAAGTGATAACTACCAAGAGAGATGGTGATCTGTACTCAGCACATTTTCCAAGTTTGAAAAACTCTCAGGCTATATGTTTGGCCTCCACAACTATCAAGGAAGAAGGATGGATCTGGCACAAGAGGTTTTCTCACCTAAACTTCAAAGCCATTTGATCAACTGGTGGAGAAAGACCTAGTTAAAGCACTGCCATCCATCAAATTTGAAAAACTCTCTCCGCCCAGCTTGTGAAATGGGTAAGATGAAAAAAAAGTCCACACAAAATTAAAGTTGAATCATCAGGTAAATCTCCCCTTGAGATATACCTATCCCATTCATAAACTTGTTTATATTCAACGCTATTCAAACAAACATCACTCACCAAATTCTTACGAATTCTAGGTACAAATAGAACATCATCTAGTCTAACATGATTACTGGAAGTAAATTCTAAATTAACTACTCCAATCCCGCATATCGGTGTTGTTGACTCGTTCCTCATGTTTAGCACAGATTTATCTTCAACCGATATTAATTTCTCGAACCAGCGTCGATCTTTGCAAACATGGCAACTCGCCTCCGAGTCCACCCACCATGCACAATCATCATCCTGTACATAGAAAGACTCGGGAATTAGTGAAACATAGTAAACATGGACAGGTTTATCAAAAACAAGGTTAGTCAAAAACTAACCTTCTTTCACTTGAGCTTGGTCCTTATACTCGGATCCACATCCTCCACTTGTTCCACCAGCACCATTAAGCTTAACCTGGCAATCACGTTTACAATGGCCCATTTTGTAGCATCCCCAGCACATCAAATCCTTCTTCTTTTTGAAGGATTTATTGGTTCCATCAAATCCTTCTTCTTTTTGAAGGATTTATTGGTTCCATCAAACTTTCACTTCTTGTCTTTCTCGTTATTGTTATTCGAGTGCATTTTATTTTCCTCGATCATGTTAACATTGTCCCGATTCACTTTCTTATCCTTGCCATTTTCTTGCACACGAAGAGATTCTTCGATGCGCAAATGGCTACCAAGTTGAACCTGTGACAGTTCCTCCTTTTGATGTTTCAAATTGTGCTTGAAATCTTTCCTAGATGGTGGAAGTTTGTCAATAACACTCGACACAACAGTGGATTCATCCATATTCATTTTGTGCAGTGTGAATTGACCCAAAATGCGAAGGATTTCATTATATTGTTCCATTACGGGCATTGAGTCAACCATTTTATAATCATTAAAATCTGTCACCAAGAAATTCTTACTAGAAGCATCTTCAGCGATATATTTTGACTCAAGGGAATTCCATAATTCCTTCGCACTTTCCGCATTTTGGTAGATGTCAAAAAGGGAATTAGTCATACCATTTAGAATGTGGCATCTGCATATGTAATCGTCATTCCCCTACTTGCTCCTCCTCCGAGTCTGTTCCCGCGTCGCGTCCTCCACTATCTCAGGCATGGGGGTACTCAGTACATACACCACCTTCAAGGTCGTTAGAAGAAACTACATCTTTTTCTGCTAGCGCCTAAAGTCAACTCCTTCAAATTTCTCCAGCTTTACAAACTTTGAAGTCATCTCTTTCACAGACTCGGCCATGACCGACATCACGAAATATCAATTCGATTGTTAGGGAAATATAGGACATGAAAAAGGGTTGACCGATCAAGAACCGAATTACTTGAAAATTGTGTAAGAGATCACTTTTCAAATTGATATTTCGATCAGATGCTTGGGTTACACGAAATTCATTATGGGATAAGACTCAAGAGAGCACTTTAGTTTTTAGGCACAAAAATGAAAGCAAACTTGTTGGAGAGTATAGTAGGATTGTTCAAAAACCCGTTTCTAAAAACACACGCATAAAAGTCATTTATGCTCATAAAATTAACCGAAATGATAAACATGACTCAATTTTAGGAGTAGTGGATAGTTACAAAAACTGTTCATTAATGATAGTGGACAGTTACAAAATTGTTCTAACCGTTCTAGACATGAAGCCAGAGGCAAGACCAACCAAAGCCACTCTAGTCCTTAAGGACCAGATCCCCTCTACCAACCAGAGCCAAGTTTTAGCAATCAAAAGCAAGAAACCAGATCCTCTAGTCTTACTAACCAGAGCCCCTCTGGTGTCCTTGGACCCTGCCTATGGTTTTTAACAACCAGAGGCAAGAAACCAGAGCCTCTGGTCTTATCAACCAGAGCCACTTTGGACGACCAAAGCTCCTCTGGTCCTTATGTTTTAACTTTCCACCACAATGTAAGGGGTGCTGCCCCGTAACTCCCAACGGAGTCATACTTGTCTTATAACAAGTGTACACTCCGCACCTCTTGACTTGAATTAAAACACAGTATAAAACCCCCTTGGAACTCAATGTTACTTCCAATTACATTTAAATGACCTGATGACACTAAAATCGCTAACACATCCTTCCGCTAATAATCATCAACGATCATAAAACTATCAAAATTAGAATCCATATAAAATACATAATTCACCATGGTCGAAACTACTTCTCCGACCATTTTATAGATTGACTAATTATATTATTATGAAGTGTTAATGCAATATTTACACCTTTAATAATTCCAATACAACTTTATGCGTCTTTACCTTCACATAAAACATCAAAGTGGGTTTTGTATCGAATCCATGTTGTTCAACGTTACGCAAGATTTTTCCATCTAATGTTTTAACGTAAAATTTCATTCGGGCACAGTTGTTACATTGTACTTTTCTTTTCCTCATTTGACCATACTCAAATTGTAACGACTTGAGAACCATCGGCATGAGACCTGCGATTTTTCATTCAAAGTTGACTCGAAACTCCGGATCAAGAAGGCTAAGGGTGATTTGGACCAAAATAAAACAAAGCCCAAGCAACAGTTAACATATTAGACTAACAATTAAGGTCCTGTTTGAATTATGTGAAGTTAAAAACACAATTATGAAAGCATATCAAGGCTCGCTGGGAAGAACATTGAAAAAATGGTAAACTTCATCGTCATCGATGACCCCAACCTCAGTCTCGCAAACCGAGCAACAAACCGAAGTAAATGACTTTGATTCCTCTTTTCTAACTCTTTTCCGTTTCAAACTTCCTTCATCGGATACTACTCGCCCTTTCTTCATCTTGCAATTTACCACAAACACTGCTCGGTATTGGGTCACATATTTTTCATGCCTGCCAACAAAACCAACATTCAACAATGCATATCTCAAAATAGTAAATTAACAACAAACTTGAAATTTTGCAAACACAACCCTCTTACTGAAGGAAATTTTACCCATCGCATCGGGGGACTCCCTGGCTTATCGGGTAACGGGTTGGGGACATGTATTGGTTTTCATACGTGAAGCAGGTACGAGGTCGGGGATGGAACTACCTGATATATATCTATATTTTATTATAAAACATTTGACAAAAACTCTTAGAAACCATTTTTTATGCATGAAGTATTGTATATTGATGCATATTACTTAAAATTCAAGATTACAAGTAAATTATGCACAAGTACAACTTATTAAAGCTCCATGTTTGAATTCGTGTAACTA